CCCTTGATCTAATGTCCACATATGAGGGAGAACATACGATTTTTGGTCTTTTGAGCCAGGCTAACCTCACTCAGAATGATGTTCTCCAATTCCATATTGGAGACTTTCTAAAACTAATAATGTATTAGGTTTGTGGTTTCTTCTCTGTAGTGGGGTTTGAACTTGGCCTCATGCCTTATATTTGGAAGCCCTTCCAATAGATTTGTAAGATGTCTCAGCTCAAAATTTGGTTTTTTCATGTATTCTGTCTTAATATTTGTTCCTTAAATTTTTTTAGGCTGCAAACTACTGTATAAACAGGATTTTGCAAGGCGTTTAGGATTAAGATGTGTTACGTGCAACTATTGCTCTCAGCTGTGTAAGAAGGGAGCAACTAAAGAACTTGATGGTGTTGTGAGAGATTTCTGCAGTGAAGACTGCTGTAAAAAATTTCAGGATTGGTACTATAAGGTAAATAACTCCAGATTTTTATTGCAGCAGCTACTTTGTCGAATGGTTAAAAATTGTAACAAATATGCTAACTTATTTTTGACATGTGCATATTTTAAGCCTGTCCTTGATTGTGTTGCTCAGTAAAATTTTGTCATTTCAGTCCTTTTTAACTTGAAGTGGAATTTATAACTTAGGTGTTACCAAGGGTTAGGTTATTTTTATCGATGTGGCTCAACACAGGGTATTTTTTCTTTACTTCTTTTTTTAAAAAATTGTTTATACATTTATTCATATGTGTATACATTGTTTGGGCCATCTCTCCCCTCCCCACCCCCAGCTTCCAGGCAGAACCTGTTTTGCCCTCTTCTCTAATTTCAACAAAGTATATTATTTCTTTAAAATTTCTTGTGCCTTCATTTCACCAAATAGAAATATTCTTGATGTCTCTATTAGCAGTGTTGAACATTATAGTTGAGATACATTTTTTAAATGGGGTGGCCTTAATCCTTCTACATTCAGCTCTAGCATAGCTGGAATGACAGGCCATGCCACCATCCCCTGCTTGTTTGTTGAGATACGGGGTTCTTGCAGTTTATTCCCCTGGACTGCCCTTGAGTCCACATTGCCACCTCCCAAGTAATGGGATTGTAGAAAAGTTCTACTGTACACAGCGTTTTTAATTATGGTGTTTTGGAGGCTTTCATATTGAAATGACCCTAAATACATGCCAAAACCATTTAATTTGAAACACAGAGATACTGATTCTGTCGTATGAAAATCTAAAAGGTCAAATCTCTTTCGGACCATTGCATTAGTTTTATCTCTTTTTGTGGATGAGAAAATGAGGGTAAATTTAGATATTATCCAAGAGAAAAGTTAATAATTTCTATGTTGATAACATGGAAAACTATCTCAGTGGTAAAGCTTCATTGTGAATGCAGTTCTAAAGCATGTGAAGATAGATATCTATGTTTTGACATAAGCAGTAAAATGTTGAAATATGGAGAATATTTATTTCACTTTATAATGTGATTAGTGTTAAAGTATTACTAGGAGAATTGTAGGAATTCTTGGTGTGATTTTTTTTTTAAATATCTATAGCTCAGCACATTAACTAGATTTTATAGATAAAAGAGGAGATACTTTCCTGGTTGTCTAAGGTAAAATAATTGAGACTTAAGGTTTTGAGGTACTTTTTAAAAAAGTTACCTCATTGTGCTTTTGAATGACTTAAGTCTTTTTTTGGGGGGAGGTGGGGGGACGGTACTGGGGTTTAAACTCAGGGCCTTATGCTTGCTAGGCAGGTGTTCTACGATGTGAGCCAGTCCACCAGCCCTGTCTTGAAGTCCAAATTTTAGAAATATGCAGAGGACTAACACTCTCTCAAATTGTTCATATTATCTAAATCAGCATTTTCTTCTACTGTAGACAGTAACATTTTTGGGAAATAACTCAGAAGACATTTCTTTGATCATATTCAATGCTTCCTTTTAGTATAGCCCACCAAATGCACCTTTGCCTGAAGTTTAGGTTTTATGATGCTAGGGAAGCACTCTACCATTACGCTACATCTTCAGCCCAGGGGGTTTTATATATTTTTGTTTTTTATTGTATTGTGACAGTAAAGATAGGAAGTTTTTTGTTTGTTTGTTTGGCACTACTGGTATTTGAACTTAGGGCCTCACACTTGCTAGGCAGGCGCTCTACTACTTGAGTCACTTCTTCAGCCCGAAGTTTTATTATTGGAATTTGTTTTGCATAACAACAAACAGTAAAGGTATTCATTCAGTAACAACAAATTTGAAAATCCCATTTCTTTCTTAGACCTATTTTCATCACTTATCTTATTGTTTGAGGCAGAAGATGTTACAATGTGGTGTAATTTCCTAGTTGTTAATTTACTGTATAAATTTCTGCCTAGTTTGAATCTTAAGATTTAATTAATCTTGGAGTAGGAACTGTATTGGGGTTTTAACTCAGGATCTCGAGCTTGCTAGGCAAGAGCCTACCACTTGAGCCATGTCCCCAGCCTAGGGTATCATCCATTTTTATAGGCCAGCCTCAGACCATGGTCCACCTCTCTCCACCTCCCCTTGTGGCTGGGTTTATAGCTGTGCATTACCATGTCCAGCAAATTTAATATTTTAATAATATTAATTCATGAAATAATATTTCAATAATTTTGCCTTTTGGTTATAGCACACACCAGATGTTTTTCTCTGACCTTTTCCCTTCCTTCCCACTTCCTTCTTCCCTGCTATCTTCCTTCCTTTTCTCTCCCCCTCTTTTTTATCCTTCCTTTTCTTCCTTCTTTCTGTTTCCCTTTTCCTCCCCTGCCCTCCCCTTCCCCCTTCCCTTTCTCCTTCCCTCTTTCCTTTTCCTGTTCCTTTTACCCTTCCCTCTTCCCTTTTCCCTTCCTCCTTCCCTTCCTCCCCTTTCCCTTCCCCCTTTTCCTTCCTTCTCTTTTTTTTGAACCCTGTGCCTCACACATTTCAGGTGTGTGACCTACTACAGAGCTGTAACTTTAGCCCCTGTTCTCTTTCTTTGAATACTTTTATTGTCTTATAGTGAAAACAGAAATCTACTGGCTGCTTCTTTCTTTTTTGCGAAAGCAAAGATGTGTTCTTTGGCAAAAGACCACATTATTGCAGATTTTGTCATTTGTTCTGTTTTGCTACTTATTTTTTGTTGTTCTGGAGGTTGAACCTAGTGCCTCACACAAAGCTAAACATGTGCTCTGCAACTGAGTGAAACTACCAGCTTCTTACCACTTAAAAGAATAATTGTTTCTAACTGAGCACAGTGGCTCATCATACCTGTAATCTACTGGGGAGACACAGGATTGTGCTCCATGCCACACCAAGCAAAAATAGGAGACCCTATCTAAAAAATAACCTAAAGCTAAAAGGACTTGGGGGCATGGCTCAAATGGCAGAGGGCTTGCCTAGCCCAAAAAAGAAAAAGAATAATAATTTCTAATATTTTCCATTCAGTGTTATAATTCAATGAAGCAGTGCATTTCAGAATCTGTAAGAATATATTAATTATCCAGCTACAGTTATCTCATGTTTAATGCCAGTTTTCTACATTAAACACACTTTATGTACAGATCTTCATATAATATACACAATATTATTATACATCATACTAGTTCCTTATACCTCTACTCACAGCTACCATATTATATTGAAAATAGGATAAATCGTATCCTCACTAATTACATTTTTTTCCTTCTGTTTTCTTTTTAATTGAAATATTAAATTTTTGAAATTAGATGCTAACTCTTAGAAGTCACTGCAGCTTATCAAGGAAATAAACTTCTATCCAAAACAAAATCAGTTCTTCATCAGGGAACAATCAAAACAACAGCTCCCCAGTCCAGCTATTAGTCATGGACATTGGCTATCTAAAACATGGAGCCCGCACACTGTGCTTCACCTTTTCTCATCAGCAGTGCATACTGATGAATGGCACCTTAATGTGTTGCACACTGATTTGAGGTTCAGGTTGAGAGACTACATAGAGTATAAATAATTTTTATATTTTTATTTATTTAAATTTAGTTGAGGACTGGTGTATTGCTCAGCGGTAGGGCACTTGCTTAGTATGTGCAAGGCCCTGAGTTATAATCACAGAACTGGAAAATAAATTTAATTGATATATTTAACATATTTCAAAATTACCTGCTAATTTTTTTTTTAATAAGACATTTTCAACGAGCTGTTTTTTTCTGGTTCATATAGTAAGTTGCTTCTGAATTTAAATGAGGTTTATTAAATACAGTTTCTTCTAGGTTGGAATAGAAAATCTGTTGACAAATCCTGGAAATTAAATTCTTTTATTTTAGTTGTATGTAATGGTGCATATCTGTAATCCTCGTTCTCAGAGGCAGGTGGATTGTCAGAATCAGGCCAGCCTGGGCTGCACAGCAAAACCCTGTCTCAAAGAAAACAAAAGTCCTGGTTTTCTTCTCATAGATAACTTTAGAAGGAAGTAGATTGTACTTTTATTCAAAGTGAATGTTTCTAGAGATAATGTGAAAACAGATGGGTGGATACTTCTTTTGGTATCTATAAATTTAAAATTTTTGACGAAAAGATTTTTATACTGCATTGGAATAATGCCTTGACTGTGTTGATATTTCAGAAGGTCCACTTTTTCCCAAGATAATGTCACAGAACTTCATGGTAAAACTAAGCTTGTCTTACACTTCAGTACTTCACATTGCAGTTATTAACACAGCTTTTCATATTAATTAATTGTTGGGGCTGGAGTTTGAACTCACGGCTTTGCACTTGCAAAATAAGTGCTGTTATGCTTGATCCATATCTTCACTGGGTTTTGAACTCAGGGTTTTGAGCCATGGCCTCAGCCCTTTTTGTTTTAGTTTATTTTTTTCAAGTATGGTTTGTCTTTTGCCTGTTGATGGCCTTAGGCCATGAGCCTCCTACCTACCTCTCCTCTGTAGCTGGAATTACAGGTATGCATCACTCGTCCACCTAGCTTGTTTGTTGATTATGGGGCCTTTTTAACGTTTTTGCCTGAGTTGGCATCTGACTTTGGACCTTCTGATGTCTACTTCCCAAGTAGGTGAATTATAGGTGTATGCCGCTGCACCTGGCTTAAAATCTTTTAATACAAATGCCCTGTTAGCATGTTTTGTCTAACAACACAAGTTACAGACTACTGGGCTTTCAGTTATTTACTTTACAAATTGCTAGATAACTCATTTTTTTAAAAATGTTATTTTTGTTTGGGAGGCATTATTAGAGTTTGAGCTCTTTGGTTTTTAATTTTAGGAAGACTATTCTATATTCTTACAAATATTTTTGTTTTGATAACTAAAGATTTCTTGTTACTTAAATTCTTTGCATAGTATCCAGTCATCTAGTCTTTTACCACTGTTTTTTTCTTCTCTTCCCCTCCCTCCCCCACCCCTTTTTTTTTTGGGAAGTGGTAAAGGATTACTTTTCACAGTGACTGTTGAAAATGTCCGTATTGCATTTATAGTTTTGCTGTTGTAAAATAATGTCTGTTTGTTAAAATTGGAAACGTGTATAGGATGTATGGATTACAAGGATGTGTATATTAACAAAAGTGAGAATTTGAGACTAAGAAGTATAAGAGACTGACAGTATAGGCTAACTGATGTCTAAGTTATTGAATATGAAATTCTTGTTTAGCTGATGAGTTGGATTAGACATTTTGAATAGAGTTTAATATGCAGTAGTTGTTCTTGTGGGGCGCTTTTTGTTTTGTTTTTAAATCATAATAGGTTGGATGTGGTGGCACAGGCCTGTGATTCTAGCATTTGAGAGGTTGAGGCAGGAGAGCTGCACATTGGCAGCCAGTTTGGGGTATTACATAGTGAATTTGAGGACAGCTTGAGCTACATAGTGATAAGCTTGTCTCAAAAATACTAAATCAATCAATCATTCAGTCAATCATAAGAGTTCTTAACTTCCACAATGACAAGAAAACCATATGATGATGTCGTACTTTTCAAGACAGAGACTTACGTCACATTTATTTCAGTTCTTTTTTATTTTTAAAGAGGGCTAAAAATGCTTAATTGTTGAAATACATTGGTAAATTCATTAATTTACATTGTAGTATTAAGCAGGTATACATATCATTAGCAAATTAAGAACTTTCCAGATAGCCCACTAATCATAAGTCCTTGAAAATAGTACAGAATTAACATGATATGTGATGATTACACAAAGGTAGAATGGAAGACTCAGTGGCTCTGAAGTACTTGTAGTTACATCAGCCTTTGATTAAAGAAAATGGGAATTTAATCAACATGTGCACGTGCATGCAGACTTAACTAGTTTGTTTTTAAATATTGCAATGTGATACACTGTTCCTAATAAAGGAAATTCTCTGACCTTTAAATAAAATTTGAAAATCAAATTATAAAAAAGGGAAGGAGATAGTAGTAAGACCCCATTTACCAATTTTAAAGCTAAAAATGAATGTGAAGTAGAAATAGTGAAAGATCAGAGACAATTATGTTACTTTAGGTAATTCATTTACAGTGCCCTAAATTATAAATAGAATAAGGATTTTTGTTATATTAAAAACTATCAAAAAAAAATCAATGAAAAGACATGACCTCTGTGAACTGTGTGTTGAGTGGCCAGGGTGAAAAAATTACAGAACCCAGAGCCCAGCAAAGCAGTTCAGGCCCAGCAGCAACAGCCCCACAAGAATCTTAACTCGTCTTCCATGGAGGGGATGCAGAAAGTTCCACAAATGAGCACTGACTACCCAGTTTCCCTCTATTACCAGCATTCACCTCTACTCATGGCTTTAATAGTACACTTAAGATTAGGGGAGAGGTGCAGAGGGACAGCCATTTAGTTTTCTTGGAAATGTCTGAGCACATTACAATGTCCTTGGAGCCAAATTCCTTCCAACTTGATGAGAAGGCTCTTGATCAGTGAGTTGTGATGTTATTTTCCTCTGAATTTTTCGTTCAGTCTTTGTTTGACTGGACACCATATTAACAGCTTCAGACAGAAGACCAATATATACTCCTCCGTAGTTTCTCCTCTTGTCATCTTCTGTTTCCGATTCTTCTGTTACATCTTCAGCTACTCCTGCAGGGCCTTGGCAGGAAAGGAAGACACAGGTCCTGTGGGCAGAGGCCAGCGGGGGAGATGCGTGGGCTGGGGAAGGGCAGTCGTATTTCGGTTCTTAAGTTAAGCTTTCCTGAAGTTCTTTCTTCATGGGAGTTTGGGATATTGGACCGGGGCAGCAGTTTATACTAGAGTTGGTGTAGGCAAACAATGATGGTTATTAATGATGACTTTAAATTGGCCATCCTATTTTTTAGCTCAGTTCCAAACACTTTCCTAGGGATCTGTGTGTGTGTGGATGTAACCGAAATAAAAAAGACCTGTACACCTCCATAATTTTCAAGCATTAAGCTTAAAATTCTTAACTTGGATTTCTCACTTACTGCCCTTTCAGCCTGAACAAATAGATATTTCTGTTTTCATTTGTAAATTGGCATTAATATATTTTTTTTCCCCTTTGGGTAAAGAGAACTCATCAAAATTTGTTTTGAATCTTCTGGAGGAAAGGATCTTGAAGTACAAAAGCCAAGTTTCTGTAATTATAGAAGTGATGAAGTGATTTCATTGTTCAGATTCTTTGGGGGGGATGTGTTTAGTTTTATGTCCTTGTACTTGTAATTTACTTGTGTAAGTGGGAACCATACACCAAGAGTCAGCATAGCCTTCATAGTGACACATACCTGTAATCCCAGCCCTCAGGCTGAGGCAGGAGGATTGTGAGTTTGAGGTCAGTGTGAGTTACATAGTGAGACCCTGTCTCAAAACAACAACAAAGTAATAATAAGGGGCCAACCCAGTACATGCAGTAATTTCAATATATTTTACAAACTCATTTGCATTTTAGATATTATATTGAGAGCCCCTTTTTTTGGGTAGCATTTTAATTTTATTAGGACTTTTATTCTCTAGTTATAGAGAGAATAAATAAAAATGAGTTTATAGTAACTCATTTTGTCTTTCATTTACTCATCTGTCAGTAGAGTACGGGATGATGCCCAGGTTTTAAGGTCGTCTGCTTAAAATCCTGCCCCTGTGTGTTTAATACTTGCCCTAGTCAAGTCATTTGAACCTAAGTTTCTAGTATCCATTTGGCAGGGCTGTCATGAAAATATGGAGAGTAGATAAATACTATTGGACTTCATTTCAAGTTCTCAGTGAATGAGATAGCCAGGCTGCAACTTCACTTTCGCTCTGTTCTTTGTTCAGACTCAGGACATAGTGATAAGTTTCCATTGGAAACACTTCCATGGTTATTTCAGAACAGTCTTTGACTGTTAAGAATTTGGGGACTTTTCCTCATTGTTGAGTAAAATATGACCTAGGTTGGTATTAGTACTGCTGTTATTCGGATTACCACATAATACTACCAGCAATAGAAAACTTGGATTCATAAATTTTTGGTCATGATATGATATTGGCTTCAGTTATAATTTGTACTACAAATCTTCATTTGTTTGATGTTTATTCAGAAAGAGAAATACCTGACTGAAGAACAAAAGAAGCCTATAATCTATCCTTAGGAGTGTGTTTATTATGTAAGACCTGTTTACCAACACAATTGTTTGTTAGTATCCCTGACTGGGATTTTTTGTTTTGTTTTTTGTTTTTTTGTCGGTGCTGGGGATCGAACCCAGGGCCTTGAGCAAATTAGGCAAGTGCTCTACTGCTGAGCTACATCTCCAGCCCCTCTGACTAAGAATTTTGACAAGGTATTTATTCCTAAAACTTCATTTGAGACATAAAAGTGAGAGATTTCTAAATATATAGTATAAAAGTGTAGATTATTTAGAGCCATCATGAAAAGAATCAGTCATAATTATTATGAGCTGTGAAGTACTTAATATTTGTTGCTTTATCAAAATTTCTAAGCTGTTAAGGCAAAGATCAGTTTTAAAAAATTATAGCACTTTGTATTTAGAACAGAAACTTCATTTGAAAAGAACTATATTTGAAATTAGTCACATGTCTTTTGGTCCATTCACTGGGGAAGAGGTTAAGAAATAGTGAAAATGAGCAAAATCTAGTGAAAATAGGATCTCTTTAAAAAAGTAAATATCTGCCCCTAGATTATTGACTGACCATGATAAAGTATAATTTGTGTTTATGAATTTTAGGCTCTAAAGTTTATATTAAAATGTTAGAAAATTAAACTACTTAAAACTAACATTTCTGAGTTTTCTGTCATAAGAGCTTTCTTCAAATTACTTTGATCTTGTACAGCTAAGCTAGAAAATCTATCCATTTACTCAGAAATTTTTAAAATGGTGCAATTGTAGAAGACTTACCGGTATAATAATATGAACATCAAAATTATTTTATCTTTTTTTAGGCAGGGTCTTGCCATGTAGCCTAGACTGGCCTCAAACTTTAGATCTTCATGCCTCAGTCTCCCAAGTGTTGGGATTATAGGCATGCACCACCATGCCTAGCTTCAAAATTATTTTAAAATAATGAACTGGGTTGTATCAGTTAATGCTGGTTGTTACAGCATTCTGGTAAATACACAAAGGCAGTTTGCCATATCCATTCAAGGCCTTGTGGTTACTAGGCAAGTACTCTACCACTTGAGCATACCTCAGCCCTCACCAATAAACTTTTAGAAGTCTTTAAGAACACTTATACATGTGGTATTTTAAATGTAATTTGAAATGTCTGAAACCTTCCCCTTTTTTATTAAGGCTGCAAGGTGTGACTGTTGTAAATCTCAAGGAACTCTAAAGGAACGAGTGCAGTGGCGTGGGGAAATGAAACATTTCTGTGATCAACACTGCTTGCTGCGTTTCTACTGTCAGCAAAATGAGCCCAACATGACTACGCAAAAAGGACCTGAAAACTTGCATTACGGTAGGCAGCAGTTCAGGTGGCATGTGGGAATCCTGTGAATTAGTCTGCTTCTTTTCTTCTTTAGTTTTAAATGCGAAGCAGTGATAAAGAATAGTTAATTTTAGAGATAGTTTAGATGGCAGTTTAAATTCCATAGTTTCTTTGTATGCCGTGTGATATTTCTAAAGACGTGTTGCTTTTTACTCTGTTCCCTTTTAAAAATTTAGTGCTAATTGAAAAAAAACAAGACAAAACCAAAAAAACCAGGGCCTAGTTGGCTTAGAGAGATTTTCAATAGAATTATAGCAAATATTTTAAAAAGAACAAACATTCACCCACCATGACATCTATAATTTTTTATTTTAAAAAATTTATTTTAATTGTGTAATTTTAAGTACAAACCATTTTGGCAAGTTACATGTGCTAGATATAAGTTGTAAGGAACAACCAAAACTCTTTAGTACCTATGACTTTTTATTTAAGAGATAAATGTAAGAACATAGTATTTACCCCCAAAGCTGTGTATGTTCAGAAGGGGAAAAATGAGAAGAGAGTTAATTTCTCCCATTTAACTCTGTATTTTTATACTTTGTATTCAGATTTTAGATTACTACTTAAAATAGTTAAAAAAAATTGTTAGTAACATCTTAAAAAATTGATGGAATGTAATGAGGAATAGAGATTTAGAAACTTTCAAGAAAATGTACTTGTCTTATTTTAAATTCATTTGTATTTTCTAGATCAGGGCTGTCAGACGTCCCGAACAAAAATGACAGTAAGTATTGCTTAAGTAGGGTGGTAAATTGCAATTTTTATAATAAGAGGGTAAAAGTAATTAGGCCAGTTTAATTTGATCATCATCATGTTTTTACTTTATTGAGACAGTATAAGCATTCTGCTGAATTATTAATATCACAGACCTCCATACATACTAAGGGATATAAAAGTGAATTAATCATAGCCTCTACTCATATTGTGGAGCTAGACATACAAATAGTATTTAAGTTGAAGTTCCCATAATAAAGAAGTAGCAATAGTATGCTTGAAATGATGGACAATCTTTATTCTTAACGAATGTAATAAGCAAGCAGAAGGTCCTGAGTACAAATTCCATAACTGTCCCCTCCCCCGCCTCAAAAAAAAAAAGAAAAGAAATATATATTTCTTTTTCTTTCTTTTGGTGTAGTGCATCAAATCTGCATTCATGTCATTAGAATTTTAAGACTTTTGTGGATTGAACATGGCCATTTAAATGTAATGTCTACTAACTAGTCTAAGCAGTACTTCTGCCACACCTGGTAGAGCAGCAGAGCAGTGAGACACTTCCTGCCTGATATGCTGCCTGTACTTGAATATCCTTATGTAAGTGACTCCCTTTAGAAGTCAATTATTGGCATCACAATAAGCCTCTGGGCTAGTTTTTAACTTGTATTTAAAAAATAGATTAGTGGTTCTCCTAGCTTTAGCAAGAATCACCTGGCAGGATTTCAAAACTTGTCAGTGCCTTGGCTACAACCCAGAAATTCTTATTTTAGGAAAGCTCTTCAGGTGATGGTAATATATAACCAGAGATGATGATCATTGATGCACAGTTGATCCTTTGTGTCCTTGGGTTTCCCAACTATAGATTCAGCCAACTAGGATTGAAAAGTGGTGGGGGGGATGTTCCAGGAAGTTTCAAAAATCAAAACTTGAAGTTTCCACATACCAAACACTGTGCTGAATCTACACAAATAGTGTGAGATTGTAGGCATGCTCTGTGACAGCCTCCTGCCCATTCATAGAACGGAATGCAGATCTCTCCAGTAATCCTTGTTTGAACATTATTGCCTGCTGTCTTGTACTTTATAGTTTTGTTGTCATGGTTAGGTTGTGATGGTTGTGTCTGTACTGAAAATGTATAGACCCTATGGAAATAACCATTTCCATAGCATTTACATTATATTAGGTATTATAAGTCATCTAGAAATGATTTGTATATATGCTTAAGTATTTATATGTGCTTGGGTTCTAGACTACTAAGGGATTTGAGCATCTATGTAGCTTGGTATCTCCGGGAAAGTCTGAGAAGTCAATCAGTCTCCATCCCCTCCAACCACCCCCCACCCCCAAAAAAAAAAAAAGATTCAGAAGGACAACTATATCTGAAAGATGAGCATTTTTACATACATTCTGTACAGTGTTTGTTTTTGATGTTGATAATTGGACAGGATCCTAGAAAAGTTGAAAGTGCTGTTTTGTTTTGTTTTGTTTTGTTTTGCTTTTCCCTATCTACTCCTCTGATGTGAATAACATTTTAAAATCAGGTAATTCAGATTACCTAAAGCATTCGGCTGAATTACCAGACTACCAGGCACTTTTCATCCACCCTGAAGAGTATAAAGATGATTACTCTTTATTTTGTTATCTTTGTGCAGTCAGTAAGGCAGCTCCCCAACCTGTTTCAAAGGTACAAGGTTTTGACTAAGGCTGCAAGAGATTCCTTCTCTCAGTACAGTATTAAATAAAAGCAACATCATGTGTCAGAATGATGGAGGGAACATTATTAGGAGGGAGGGAAAGTTAGGTACCATTGTGGCCATTATTGCCTTTGTCTTATAAAGTCATCTCCCATCATCTTTTTGTAACCTTTTAGAATTTTTTAACTCTCTATCCATATAATTAAAAAGGTGAGCGCTTGTCTGGATTATTTTGAACAAGTTATTTCACTATTCTTTGAGTTTCCTTATTTGTAAAATCAATGATTATCACCTCAGGTTTGTCACATGCTAAGTACCAGCCCCATGGTAGCTGTTCTGTTCCAGATCACATAGAGGCAGTATGTATGGTAGTTATTAACATAGACTTTGACATCAGATGAATCTATTTACATTAGCTCTGTGATCCTTACTAGATTATGTACTTCTGAGTCTTAGTTTCATCATCTATAAAATTGGAGTAATAAAAAAAGCCCAAAAAACCCTCCCTCTGTGGTGTTAGAAGAATGAAATAACATTTGGTGCTTTACTTTAATTCCTGGCACATAGCATGTACTCATCATATGGTGGCTTTTGTCATTATTATTTTCATTACTTGGGATCTTTCAGTATTCAGCATAAATAGCCATAACTCCTACCTGTCAATTAGTTGAAAAGTAAAAAAAAGAATTCTAGGACCAAAAGATTGGGATCAAGGTTTTTACTAACTGGCATAGCTCATTAATCTATATAATATTTGGAGAATGATAAGAGGTACAACATTAAGCAATTCTAGGCCATCTGTGATTTGGAATTTTCCTATTCTTAAGTGGGAATATCAGAGTATTTTCCAGGTCAGACTGAACTTAAACTTGGCATATAGGAAATACTGTTTGCTACGTTTTGCTTCTCATTGTATGATTGAAGCATAGGCTGTAAACTTTTCCAAGGTCTAGCCTTAGAACCAAGTTTCTTAACTCCTTGTTCAGGATTCTGTCTCTGATTAGTATGTAGTTTAAATTCTGGTTAATCTGATGTTCATCCTAGTGTAGCCATGTTGGCCATATATATTATTTTTAATAATCTATATACTTTCTTTTTTCAACTGTACTGGGGTTTCAACTCAAGACCTTGTGCTTGCTAGGCAGGGACTCCACAACTTGAGCTATGTCCTAGCCCCTGAGCCATACAGTTTTATAAATAGCTTTTAAATACATACCCTTCCAGACTTTAAAAAAAAAATCATAAAAAGGACTGGGGAGATAGCTCAGTGACAGGGGGTCTAGCACATGTAAGGCCCTGAGTTTGATCTACAGTACCACCCCTAGAAAATTTCACAGACAGAAAAATTTTTTAGTACAGTTGATCTTTATTATTCATGGATTCTGCATTTGAATTTATCTACTTATCAAAATTTATTTGTAATCCTCAACCAATATGTATAGCACTTTGGTGATCACCTGATATTCATCTTCTAAGTTGAGGTAGATCAAGGTGATGCTGTACCTTCAAGTTTCAGCCATCATGCTGTGAACTTGTGTCATGTTTTGCTTCATTTTGTGCATTTTTGGACTTTTTATTGATGATTTTTGCTGTTCACAGGGGTCCACAAGTGTGGGTTTTAAAGTGCTGTCTAGTGTCTCTGAGTACAAGAAAGCTAATGTATGTTAGTTAATTACCATTCAGATGTGAGTTAGAGTGCTGTTGGTGTGTTTAATATTAATCAATAATGTAAATAGAAAGGAAGAGGAAATTTGCCAGTCAGTACACAAGGCCACTCTAAGAGCTACCATAATGTCTATTATAACTAAATTTGTGGGCTCATGAGATTATGACCCATTTACACTATTTTTGTAAGGCTTTTAGCTCACAAGTGTTAACCAGGATTAGGAAAATGTTAAACCCTTCTCAGTTAGTGCTGACTGGTTTGCATGTTTTTCATGGTAAAAATGTTAAACTGGAAGGTGAAGTGGGTTCTGTAGATGAGGGCACTGTAGAAGAAAGACCTGCTAAGTAGTATACAGGAAAAGGGTTATGGGGAACAATGCAGGCATTGGTGGTTCAGTGGTAGAATTCTCGATGCTGCCGAGATTGGCTTGCTTTTTGCAAAGGTATTGGAAAACAAACCTGCAAATGGTTTTCAGAGTCTCTGGCTCTAAATCATTCAGTTTGTACAGTCCTTCCATTGCTAAGAGCAATTTCTTTTTTTTTTTTTTTTTTTTTTTCATTTTT